GATCACCATCTCCGCGGATTTTCGGTGTGACGCCTACTGAAAGTGCATGACAGTTCCAACATGCATTCCAATTCTTTTTGGACCCCGTGATGGTCAGTTTTATGGATGGTATCAGCCTTTGTGCGATGTATATGATCTCACCACTGCACACAACACCACAGACCCATCATTCCTGCACTTATCACGTCTGTCCGAAACAAGATTTCGAGTGTTCTCTGCAAGTGATGTGCCTTTTCCTATGACTTCTCCCGCTGCTCACGGCTGGGTTCTCTTACAAGGGAACCCCAACAGGTCGATCCTGCCATTTGCAATGAGGTGTGTATACATGGGCGTGTCTTGAGCCGTCGAATCCAAATCTGCCCTCGGAATTTGCGGAACGATTCTCTGAAGGGAGTTACGGGCCATTTCATATCTGCACTGTTCGCACAAGTGGCGAACGATAACTTTGTGCGTCAAGCGGTGGATGGCGTAGTGGATAGGCGTACTACTTCAAAGACACAAAGTCGCATGTTGGAATCCTTGACTCTCGCAAGTTTTTGCTTTTATTCAAAACACTTCATATGAGTTCCTAAAACGCTTCTGTTTGGCCAAGTTACCCAGTTCTCATACCCATTCCCTCAACGGATACGCCAGCCTCGGGCACAACATTACGACAGACCAAGAAAGCAGCAACTGGCTGTTTTTCGTCCGGAATGCCACTTGTTGGTAGATCATAATCATGGGTGCTGACCGTATCGGGTAATTTTGCACGGAACGCGTGGTTCGTTCAAACGGGGGCTGGCGCCAATTTGGCACTGCCACACTTCTCACCAAATTCGACGTAAAGCTGCATAGTAGGGTTATTTGATGTCCTGATCACGAATACCGCATTAGTTCTCGGCGATAGCTCTATTCGACTCCAAGGCGCCGGCGCCTTTAGGCAGCGTTCATAGTTCGCGACAGCAGCGGCGATCGTCGGTGCATGGCAGCGCGCGCCCCAACGCTATTGTGGATGCTCGCCTGATGAATAAGGGAATGTCTACTTGTGAGACCTTCTTTACGCTTAATAAGGGTCACTAACAGATAAACTACGACTTTCTAGGTCGGGGTAAGACTTCATTTCCTGGGTGAGCTTCTTTTTTGTTTTGTTCTAATTGTTTCAATTTATGCATGCGCCTCAGGAATTCCTATCGTCTAAGTTGCTCCAACTCCCAAAACATTCATGGTTTACAAGCCGAGTTCAAACAACGAAGAAAAAAAAAGAAACAGAAAGAAACTCTCCTAGAAACCAAAGCCCTAATCATTTTACGCGACATCAAGAGGTGAAAACTTCATAAACCTCATGTACAACCTCGACGAATGAAAAAAAGAAGCAATAAAAACGTACGTCAAGTGAAGCTCTGGCGCTTTTTGCTCATTTCTATCCTAAATAATAAAGAAAATAGAAAACAAAAGCGATTAGCTGGGCTCGCCTTCCCTTGTGTCAAACCAAGCTTCATTACCTAAGGAAATTGCAGTCAAAGGAAAAAAAGCATAAAATTGAGCCGCTTACCCCCAGAGGCCTTCGGAGCGCAAGTAATAGCATTGGGGCGCGCGCTGCCATGCACCGACGATCGCCGCGATCGCCGGCGATCGCGGCGATCGCTGGCGATCGCGGCGATCGCCGCTGCTGTCGCGAACTATGAACGCTGCCTTAGTGCGGGCTGTAGGTGGTTTCAGAACGAGCGGATGTGATATTCATGTGGAGGCCGAATTACTCCTAGAACTCAACTTTCAGCTAAATCTGCAAGTTGATCTAGATCGGCCTGCTTCCGGAAAGTTGGGGTAGTACTAGTTGAATAGTGCCGTACTTTTGTACTGCCGTACTTTTCGCTGTGCTAACTGTGAGAGCTTGTTTTGTTTCCACCAGTTCGTGAAGGAATACCACATGTGCTATCAAGATATAAGATCTTCATTTCTTACTGAAAGCTTTAATAAACCGATATCCTCATAATAATCTTCTTAAAAGGAAACAGGAAAGATGAGTTGCTTGCTTCTGATGTCAAATAATTGAAGAACTAGGTAAATTGGCCAAACAGAAGTGCCTTAGGGACTCATATGAAGTGTTTTGAATAAAAGCAAAAGTTTCTGAGAGTCAAGGATTCCAACATGCGACCTCGTTTCTTTGAAGTAGTACGCCTGTTCACTACGCCATCCACCGCTTGACGCTCGCAGTTATTGTTCTCAAGTTGTGCGGACAGAGCAGAGATTAAATGGTTCGAAACTTCCTTCAGAGAATCGCTCCGCAAATTCCGAGGGCAGATTTGGATTTAGCCGCTCAAAACACGTCCACGTATATACACCCCATTACAAATGGCAGGATCGACCTGTTTTGGTTGTCTTGTAAGTCGCGAATTTCTCTGCGAAAATTCCATGGAATTCCTCTTTCCTACACCTTATTATATGAAAAACATTTAGAACTATTCTTTCCCACCAAGATTCCTTGGATCCATCAATCTAAATAAGAAGTAGAGGTTGTTTTCGCGCGCTGCGATAGCAGCATCTGCCATTCGCGTAGTTTTGCTGTAACATTATCTTGGAGTTCAATTTGAACAACAGATTCAAAACAGCTTTCTACATGTATATTATAGTACCTCGGACAACCAGGATATTTTACTTACAGGTGTCTGCAAACTCATATTCACTCAGTGCTTTCCTGCTACCACTAATGTACTTTTCCTTGTTTCAGAACTTATGCAGATATGCAAATGAGCTTAGGACGAGGAAAATAACGCATTTGCTCTCAACTATAAGACGCTTTGCCATTAGTGGAAGTACAAATGAATCACCTTATCTCCGATGCAGTGTGTGTGCCCATACTAAGTATGGTTCGTACGGGGCACTCCATCGCAATGATTCCAACTCGTGCTCCATCCAGTTCGAATGCTGCCCATGACATGAACTTTTTTTGCTAAATTCGACAATTTTTTTCTGCAATGTCCCAAATTGTTGGATAAAGCTTCGAAATATTGCCAAAATATATATGGGCACTGTTGCTCAATGAGTATGTTTGTTTTTGCGCGTCGCAGTGAAATAAGGCATGTATAAAAGGTTGTCCTTGTTATCCGGGTGTTTAGCATCTGCTTGGGTGTCGAACCAATACGAAAATTATATATATACCATTTTCACTTTAAAAAACCCTTTTCAAACCAAATTCGGCCTTTTTCAAGCCAAATTCATCCTTTTTCAAACCAAATTCACCCTTTTTCAAATCAAATTCACCCTTTTTCAAACAAAATTCACCCCTTTCCAAACCAAATTCACCTTCACATTTTCATGCAAGTTAACCACACTTATTAGGGCGACCACTTATCAACCAGATCACGCCAGACATCACTGCGAGCCCGCCCCCAACAGGCACGCCCACTGTCAGCGCGCCGACATGAATTCTCAATCTTTGTTTCATAGCTTCTGCTGTTCCCCACAAACACTTAGACTGAAAACCACCATGCATTCACACATGACCGACTCCGCCCATTCTCTAGAGGGTTTGGCACTCTAGGCTGACCACACCAACTGGCCTTCCGTGAAATTTCGATGTTTTTTTTTTGCATTTTAGGGCTGCTGCGTGAAGCTCCGCCCACTGTGAGATGCTCCGCCCATTTTAGATGAGCCCCGCCACTTTTCAAAATGGTGCACATCGGCACTATAGAGACTTGGCTTGCATGCTAGGGTATTGTTGATCATTCGGAATTAACTTTGTCGGATTTTCTTGTTCCGAGTGACGTTTGAGACCCTAGCATGCAGGCCATATCTTACTGCCGATTTGCACCATTTTTGAAAAGTGGGCGGGGCTTATCCAAAATGGGTGGAGCATCTCACAGTGGGCGGGGCTTCTCGCAGCAGCCCTAAAATGCAAAAAAAGCAAGTGGGCGTGGTCAGCTAGAGTGCCAAACCCTCTAGAGAGTGAGCGGAGTCGATCATGTGTGAATGCACGGTGGTTTTTAGTCAAAGTGTTTGTGGGGAACAGCAAAAGCAGAAGTTATGAAACAAGATTCGAGAATCTATGTACGCGCTGACCAATGGGCGTGGCCGTTGGGGCGGGGCTCGCAGTGATGTCTGGCGTGATCTGGTTGATAAGTTGCCCGCCCTAATAAGTGTGGTTAACTTGATGAAAAGTGAGGGTGAATTTGGTTTGAAAAAGGGCGAATTTGGTTTGAAAAAGGGCGAATTCAAGGTGGAAATTGTATAAAAACATCGCTACAGGCAAGGCGTGAGGCCACTAGACGGCGAGGCTGACGGCACCGTGCCACGTCGGTCTCACCGAATGCGCGTGAAATGTTCTAGCATGGTTCACAGGGAAAGAATGATAGGTCGAATCAGCCATACGAAAATGAAGGCAAACTGCCTGTCGCTTTTTTGACTGTGATCGACCTTTTTGATGAGCGGAAAAAAACATTGTGTAATGGAACTTTTGTAGCATACTGCATATATGCTCATGATATCTATGAGGTTGAATTCCTTACTAGATGAAATGTGAGGAAAGTGATGTTGCACCCATTACCACGGAAATATCGTAATCGCAACTCAACAACTCCGCTAGAGGGAGTGACACTACCACCGCGCGGGCGAGGTGAGCATTGGTTTGCGACGCATGATTAAACCCCTAATTCGTGGAGACTAGTTTTCAACCGAATCTGAGGATTGTCCTAACGTCGATGAAGTGAGATTATTATTGAATTACTCCTGTCATTGCTACTGATCCTTTGTCTCACTGTCTTCGATTAGAAATGCTGTGGTCAACAAAGTATATTTCCTGATTATCAATATTCAGAAGTAGTTGACGGTTCTTATAACGAACATTCAATGCATTTTTGCAGCGGTGCAAGGTAAGCGATATTTTGCTGCCATAAAGTAATTTAAGGAAAGACGCGGAAACCGGTGACCCATTGTGTCTCGGAGAATTTCCAGAATGATTCATTTGGAAGCAACGATTTTCTCGGCAAGACCAACTCTCATAACCCCGCCATGGTACCTCCCTGCTAATGTGCCGCTGGAAGCGATTCTGGAGCGTCATTTCCGTGTCCGTCTTTTTGGAATGTCGGCATCTGAATCCAAATGTAGCTAGCTTTATCGTATAGCTTTATCATCAGGTACTTGAGCATTTTCGGAGTATATCCGAGGATGAATTACACCTCCTCTTACCATGTCTTTTGGATCGCCTTAGCAGAGCAATACAGCAGAGCCTGGCAAGGGCAGGGAGACTTAACCATCTTGTGTCGTCTGTCTGTCAACGGCGGGTCAGCTTAGATTCGCTGTTCAAGAAGCACGGAAGGGAACAGCGTTGAAGTGGAATGTACGAAATGTACATCTCAAGCTTTCTGAATGACGCATTGTAATCTCAGCCTGAGGGAGGAACGAATGCATGTTGATGACCTCTGATCTTCCTTACATCCCACAATGTGAGCTCTGATATCTTATTATCACGCCTGTATCACAACACATGTGACTGCGAAGAGCCTTATTCACTGTTAGTCGATTCCGTTTCGTTCTCGAGTTAGCGACTACCGCTGCTACGAAAAATGTTTACTTTATTTAATTAAAGGTTTATTTTTGCTAGGAGCACTACTCTGCCGCGCGTCCACAACGAAGGTGCAACTGGTCAAGGAGAGCAAACAACTTAAGCATCGTAAGTCCACAAAAAGTATGATTATGCTTCGGGCGTTTGGAAAAAGGCAATCAGACAAAACGTTGAGCTGGATCAAACGTTCTCTTATAACTGCCTATTGTAAATGGGAAATGACGAGTTCACTAAGGATCCGAACCCCTGAGGTTGCAGACGTAGGGATCGTTTATCCACTGCGCCCATCGTCTACGTCCACATTTCACACTCGTATGTGCATACTTGTTGAGCATTGTATGCTTGACTTAACAACTTTGTTTAGGGAATCTTTGGTAGCTTTGAAAGGCAGATGGAGCGCAGATAAAATCAGCGTCCATAGTCGTGTCAGCTGCTACAAACCTAACTCCAAACAGTCACCCTGACCAACCATATTTTCCTGTCAGTGAGCTTGCAAAGATGCCAGCTCTTTGCAGTATGACATGGCATTGCCACATCTCATTACGACACAGATTGAGCCCAGCTAGAGAGTGGCCCACTCCCTCCACAGCAGGTCACGAGCCGGAAACCCGAGGATAAGTGATATTTAAGCCTAAGCTTATACTAAGCCCGAGCTGGCCCGAGCTGACCTTGAGTTCGTCTTCGCTTCTTAGCAAAGCGCAACATGTGGTTTGAAGATGCCTCCGAACATCCTTACGAATTGGAACAGGTAGAAGCTAGTCACCGCTAGAAGTAAGGAACGCTCGCAGATCAAGCTTGAGCCTCTTAGCCACTGACGACAACGTTCTTGGCGGGAAGGGGTGGCGTGTCACTCATGCTTTTTCAATTGCAAACGCTATGTGGCACAGGGCTCTCATAGTCCCCCTTGCGGACCACTTTTTCGGCGCTCCGTTGAATTTCGCGAAATGATCAGACAATCTTGCAATGGTGAAGTGCGCTCTTCCACGTGCTGTCACTGGAAACTGCCCGCTGATGCGGCGGGCAGTTTCCAGTGACAGCACGTGGAAGAGCGCACTTCACCACTGCAAGATTGTCTGCGAAAGGCGGCGCGCACTTGTAAGGAGTGTGAAAAGTACGCGAGGCTCTGAAGCATGGACGGCACTGAGGTCAACTAAGCTAGCCCGAAAGTCGTGCAGCGTGAGAAAAGTCTGCGTGGCAGCTCCACTGTTGTGACATTGATGAGATTCTTAGTGAGCTGTGCTGTGCAAGAAGAAGTAGTCCAGTCGCTAGTGAAGAGAATTTATTCATGGCTCTAGAGCCATTTTGTGTAGCAAGCCCAGTACCACCAATGGCATGGCGATTCTCGCCGTTCCCGTGACTTGATAGCGAGCGTTGAACGGTTTGATGACCGCCTGATGAAGATCGCTTGAGTCGCTGACAAGCAACGGCTGTACCATTCGTTTTCTGTCTATGCTGCTCAGACTTGGTGCAGTGAGAGACCCAACGACAGTATCTGGTCTCTACTGGAGGAGAAGACAGCTGATATGCCGTCAGAAAATGTTTTCATTGACGGAAATGGGCACATAGGTGCTACGAAAGACGGCTGCATGACGCTGGATTTCGGCTATAGGTCGCCTGATGCGGATGTGTATGAGTCCTCGTCTATGTAGGAGCCCATAACCTGGTCATCATGGATACGAAGTTTTCAACTAGGAATGGTGGCTAGTCGGAGTGGCCTTTTGTAATGAGACCCAGACCACGAGACGTGCTTATGGGCGCTGATCTCTAATCTGCTTTCGGAGAGTGCAGAACGATTCCCTGATTGGAACAGTGAAGGTTTGTTCAAACGGAATGAAACACAGTCAAGAGCGATCACTGCGCGACCGCCGTGCATGATTACACGCAGAGCATATGCTCTCTTGAGGGAGCATGCCATAGAAGTAAGAACCCTGTTTCACAGGCATGAGACGAAGCTTCGGATTTTGAAAGAGGCAAGTTTGTGTCTTCTTAAGTAGTGTTTTGTGTCCGGAAAGCGCGCTGATATGATCGCACATCACGAATCCAATCGCTAATCCAGGTAATCCTACAAAACCTCCGTTCTACCGGAAGTCATCGTACAGGTTTTTGCGGCGTGCGCCACAATGGTTTCCGCGTCAAACGAGTGTCATGTTCATGTTCAGAAAACAGAGCTACCCCTGAACATTTTCTAGCCAAATGTAATATTCGACCTAACCCCGAAAAGTGTGGCAGCAATTGATGGATGTGGTTGTGGTGGTTTAGGTTCTGGTGACATGACAGGCTGGTGTCAGAACCAGTGGTTCTGACACCTGCCTGTCATTGATATTGTTTTTAAACGAAACCTGCTTTCACTTATCAGGAAAAATGGAGAAGTTGCAGAATTAATGATTCATGAACGGCATCTTGTTTTCTATAGGAGAATGTATTTGTGGCAGAATAGGTGTGAACATTAATAGAACTGCACCCCATCGCTGCTCGCCAGGGCACAGCATTTCGTCATGTGATGAATTTTTTTTAATTACGACTCGTTTCCTCCAAAAAAACGGGCCTCGCTACGATCCCTCTCCTCCTAAAAAAAACACAAAAAAGGTAGATTATATGAAATAGCACACTTGAGTTCAAATATTCGCGTACATCCAGAGACTACGCGCAAGCGTTCAGAGCGCCTTCGCTGGGACTACATCGTTTTGTGTTGCAAAGTGGGCGAGGGGCTAGAGAAGTACACTTGTCAAACATCTAAAACTTTTCAAAAGCAAAGTCTCTGAAGAGAGTCCCTTCCTCTTTCTGGAGAGGGGAAACAGCACTATAAAGCTTCAGGTTTATAGGTTCATGGAGTATGATTGTATATACTTAAACGCATCCAAGCTCCTTAGCGAAAGGCTTTCAACGTCATCACCTACGAGTTTTCTCCCTTTGGACAGCAATAACCTCACATGTGATCTGTTATGAAACCCAATACAGATAACCAAGCCAGAGCGATCGCCCTTTCCGAAGAGCATTCCAGTTTCTTTCATGCCCGCTATTCGAAGAAAATTACCCCGATGTGGATTTGTTGTGAAAAGTTTCGGATAACGCGGAAATAACACAGTTCCTGTGCAATACCGCTTCCAGTTTGCTCCAAGACTGGCTAAGTTTCTAGATTACATTTTCCCGTTGAACTTATTTGAAAATAGTTCATACGACGCCGATTGGCATCCCCTCTGTATTGCACCATGCGCCCGATCCCCATGCAGAGATGTTGGAAATGTCGGGAAGGTGTAACCTTTATACAAGACTTTTCCGTGCAAGAAGATGTACTTCTGCCTTCCAGAACAGTAAGAACAAACTGTGCTTCGTTTGTTATCAGTTCATGCCGTTCTTTTGGGCGCCTACCGTATTTCTTGTCATTACCGTTCCCCACTGCTGAGCTTGCAGCTTAGCTTGGTCAACAGGGTCTGTTCTAGTGTTCTTCGCAAAAAACTACTGATAATTCTTTTATTAGTCGGTATTGTACGAAGCCTTAGAATTGCTGCTCATCCCACTTTTGAGCAAGTCCTGCACTCAAAACCTTCCCCCATTTCGCAGAAAAATGTACCCCTTCGCTGTGATTTCCACAACGACGGCGTGCCGTGGTACCCGCATCACTTTCCAGTTAAAATTCCAGATTTGGCTATAAACTTGTACTTGGAGATCGTTCGACCCGCTTAACACGAATATGAAACTCGGTTAACGCGAAAACGCCATCGCGCCACCTGTGCACTCAAACATTCTTCCCGACCTCAAGGCGCCTAATCCCACCGATAACTGCGTGCAACACTTTTTAGGCAGTTTTAGGTGAGCACATTGTAGTAGTGTCGCTACCACTTCGTCTTCCTGCTGGAAGCAAAGAACCAAGGCTAACACGGATCCGACTTATGACCTGTTTTTTTGTTATGAAAAGAGAAAGCTTCCAAACATCTGCGTAGGGAATAGTTCTGCAGATTTTGAAGGCAGATGTGACATCAGCACCTAAAATCACGTTCCGTGAGTTATGTCCCATTACGCATCCTACTGACATATGAACCATGCCTAGTATGCGAGTCAGACTATCTCAGTGTGACGTGATTTTGTTGCGAGTCAGACTATCTCAGTGTGGCGTGACTTTCTCATATTTGGACTTGACATGGCTTAAGCCGGCTGGAATGGCCCTTCCAGTCGAGTTCAGCATCTCCAAGTCCCGAATGTGAATAAGATGTGGACCTAAAGTCAAACCAAGCTCAAGCTGACCTAAATCTGAAGACGCCTTCGGACACCATTGAAAATTAATCAAGTTTAGGTTCTCAAGAGAAGTACGGTAAACTCTTAGTTCGCTCTCAAAGACAGATCAATAGCGTCTCCGATCAGGAAGCTCATGCCGCGCTTTGTGGAGGCAGCTGCACTGTGGGCGAACCGCTATTGTTTGTAAAGGATAAAAACGACGATAGCATTCTTACCAGCTGAAGACCATTGTCGCCTACCGATTTCGTCTCATCAACAACGAAAAGGATTGAGGATCTCGATTTAGTGGAAAAGTGCTGTCCCTGAAAGTGAAATATCAAGCGAACTTCTAAGCAAGAGTGTTGTATCGTCAGTGATTGAATCCTGCTTGATGTTTACATCCTGCAGTTTACTGTGGTGTCATTTTTGACATTTCAACATTTGTTTGATAATTTAAGTAACTAAAAAGCGGCCGCGGCTCCTTTCCTACCTTCACACGTGCACACCTCTAGGATAAGTCCTTTCGAAGAACTGCTGCCTGAAATCCTGATGGCTTCTCACTTTTGTGGGCGTTGCTCCAACCCGAAATCGCTCCTCTACGTCTGCGTCTGCGGCTGGTGCACCACGTAAACTTGCTTGGAGTGTAGCAATTCCATGTCTCATATAACAGAGTAGAAATTCGTCGTAAGGAAAACACTGATCTTTACTGATATTAGAGAAATGCCCATGTACAGGTGAACCTGAACCTGGTATACATAAGCCGCAAAGCACGTCTACGTGCGTGTGTGTTCGAATTGATGGCGTTCGCCGCAGCGACAATGGAAAGTCCTTTCCAAGAAATGCTACAGAACATGAAAAAGGAAATTACTGTTGAGTTACAAAAAGTGTAATAGTTGATAACATCCGATAAACGGCGTTAGAATCACACGTCACCTAAGTCATAAGCAAAGATTGGGTAGAGAGTTCGGGTGGAAAGCCTCTGAGATAGAGTGTCATATAGTTGCTATTCAACTATCCTTTCTACTCTTTCATTCTATAAACCAGTAACTTGTGTGTTCGGTTTGTATGTTTGTATGTATGTAGGTTTATGTATGTTTGTTCTGTCCGTCCGCAAAAATACTTCACGGGTTCGAGTTCGCATGGAGGCGAAAACGACCGCTAGGCAAACCGGTACCGACTGGGAGGATGTAGCAGTCCAATGATTTGATTGTGATAATAACAGCCTCCGCTATATAAACAACCATTCGGTACACTCCGAGCCATTGCACGAGCTGCTGCGGTGGCAGCTGGACGTGTGCTCTTGCGGGGCCAGGGTGGGGGTACCGGGGCGCGCCCTGCCTCCCTCTCCTGCACGTGCTCAGCCGGGAGCTGAGCACGTGTATGGGAGGGAGGCAGAGGGAAGGGTCGCGGGGAGGGGGGGGGGTGCAGTGAGGGGGTAGCGCGCGTTTCAGTAGAAACGCGCACCAAGGGATGAGGAAACAACCGCTAACAAAACTGCAGAAGCACAATCTATGTTACCTGTAAAACGAACTAAGAAGTTGTTTGGTTGTGAATAACACATTCCACTATATAAGAAAACCACTAAACTCGCGAGCCATTGTACGGGTTGCTCGCGTGCAGTTGGACGTAAGCGCGTGCAAGGGGCAAGGGTGGGGTGGGGGGGGTGGATGGCGAGTACGGAATGGGGTGAGGTGAGAAGGTGGGAGTTAGGTACCGAGTGACCCCCTTCTCCCATCCTCACTCCCTTGCGCTACTCAGTCGGATCTGAATGCCCATGCAGGGGAAGGAGCATATGGATTGAATCGGAGCAAATTGGGGCCAACACACTGCGATATTACTCTGTGCTACTGAAGGAGCTGCTTCGCTGGGAGCTGGACGTGAGCTACGAGCAAGGCGGTGGTAAAAACAGTGGCGGAGTAGTGGTGCCCTATGTTGCATGGCGGCTTGCAATACCACGTGCCGGGGTGGTGCCCGGTTAAATGTGGGTCAGTGATATGAGTGTGGGAGGATACCAGATGAGAACGGCGATTTCGCGAGTTAGGAGCAATACCCCCGTAAGCCGTCTACGTTGCGACAAGATGGCGAGAAAATGGATCGGCCGCGGAATCAGAACTGAACCGATTAATGTTGCATTAGTCAAATGGTGGTAGCGTTTTGATAGTCATAAACACCCTCAGCAACATAAACACACGCATTGTAGTGGCACTCAGGAACCATTGCAGGGCGGGCTATTCGCGTAGCAGCTTAGTGTGACCTGTAGGGTGGCTGAGCGGGAACAAGCTGAGGTTAGTTTGGGGATAGATGAGGTGAAGGGGTACCCATATTGGCCTCGCCTGAACAGCAGCACGCAGCGACTGCGGAGACCGAAGAATCCGTGGCTGTCATAAGATGGGGAGGACAGTAATCGGTTATCCATGACCAGATTTCAAACCTTTCATTATAAGAGTGAAGTGCCCTGCGATCATATGGCGCGTTCCTACATTTATTTGATTAGAAGACACCGGTTAGGCACCATGAGAGCATCATAAATGCCCAAGACAGTAGTGTCGCCCTGCTTATGCCTTACTTTGCTCCTTTCTTTCACGAGTTAAGAAGTGAGGCTCCAAAGCAGTTGCATGAGCCCGGCGAAGCCGGGCTTCCAAGAAGGAGGAGAGCTCGGCGTCAGCCGGGCGATCCGACTGGTTCAACTATAAAACAGTAGCTGATAAGTGATTCTCCAAAGAAGAAAAAAAGCAAGAAGAGTTCTCAAAAACAACATAGACAAAGTCGCTCAAAGTCGCTCCCTGACAGCCACACCCCCGACGCTCTCTGTGCAACGCCTAGCTCGCAACTCGCTTTTTCCCATCTCCCAATAGTAGATATCATACAATGCAAAGAAAAATATAAAAAACAACGGGAGTACGGGCGAAAAACTCTTGAAAAGAAGACATTCATAAGAAATCGGCGTTCAAATTTAGGGTTATGGTGGCGTGCATCTTTTAGGGCGTCGAGCTTTTCCACCACGCAAATTGCATTACTCATGATTTTACGCGTTTTACCTTACGAGATGGGTTGCAGTTTACTGTACGTGGTCCTAATGAGTAAAATGTAGTAAAAAAAAAGCAAAATTACTTATGGGCACAGCGCGGTCAGTAGAAAGGACATGCAATTCAGCAATGCCCGCCGCCCCAACAAAGAAGAAATGAACGCCCCTCCGTCGTCAGAAGACATCTAGCAAGTAGGCGGTCCAACTGAGCGGGCCTTACAACTAGAACTTCTGCGGTTGTAGCAGCTCTTCGCTGTAGAGTAGCTAGAGTGGGACAGTCTCTTACCTGGGGGCTGGACTTCTTGCACAAGTAAGGACGTTCGTGGGTTACTTGAGCGCTGGGCTGTCTTTAATGTATGTGTGTTAGATATGCCGATCACCCAAAAGTTTAACGCCCCTGAGAAAGCCTCACATGATTTGTTTTGTAACGAAGAGCTGTCTCTGAGCAATATTCTGCACTTCCTCCAGCAACGATACTTTCATAAATGGCCGCACCAATAGCTGAAGACATTTGAACACTAACTCACTCGGTCAAGGTCTAGTATATAGTAATACCAGTCGGATCGCCGGCCTAACGCCGAGCTCTCCTCCTTCTTAGAAAGCCGCGGCTTCGCCCGGCTCAAGCAACTGCTTTAGAGCCTCACTTCTTAACTCGTGAAAAAAGGAACAAAGTAAGGCATAAGCAGGGCGATACTACTGTCTTAGGCCATTTATGATGCACTCATGGTGCCTAACCGGTGTCTTCTAATCAAATAAAATATAGCGAACGCGCCATATGATCGCAGAGCACTTCACTTTTATAATGAAAGGTTTGAAATCTGGTCATGGATAACCGATTACTGTCCTCCCCATCTTATGACAGCCCACGGATTCTTCGGTCTCCGCAGTCGCTGCGTGCTCCTGTTCAGCGAGCGTCGGTCGTGCCAATATGGTACCCGCTCACCTATCCCCAAACTAACCTCAGCTATTCCCCGCTCAGCCACCCTACAGGGTCAACACTCAGCCGCTACGCGAATAGCCCGCTGCAATGGTTCTGAGTGCACTAAATGGTTGTGTTATGTTGTGGAGGGTGTTTATGACTATCAGAAACGCTACCACAATTTGGTAATGCAACATTAATCGTTCAGATCCGATTGCGGTCAATCCATTTCTTCCCATCTTGTCGCAAACCGTAGAGCCTTACCGACCGCAGGGCTAATGTGCTCCTAATCGCGAAATCGCCGTTCTCATCTGGTATCCCTCATCACATCATATCCCACTGACCCTATTCAACCGGCACCCACTCCGCCACGTGGTATGCAGCCGCCATGCAACATAGGGACACTACGCCGCCACTGTTCTTACCACCGCCCTTGCTCGTGCTCACGTCCAGCTCCCAAGCGAGCAGCTCCTGCAGTAGCACAGAGTATATCACAGTGGTTGCTTGGATAGCGGGAGCGATTCACAATCCCAAACAACTTCTTAGTTCGTTGGCTGTAAGATGGATTAGCTTGCAGTTTTGCTAGCGGTTCTTTCCTTCTCTCTTGCCACCTGCTCCTATTTAAGCGTACGCTACGCACCCCCTTACTGTACCCAGTTTGCTCGATTCAATCCATATGCCTCCTTCCCCTGCATGGGCTCAGACGACTGAGTTCGCGCAAGGGGAGTGAGGATGGAAGAAGGGGGTCACTCGTTACTAACTCCCACCTTCCTCACCTCAGCCCATTCCGTACTCGCCACTCCACCCCCCGCCCCCCCACCCCACCTTGCCCCTTGCACGCCGCTTAACGTCCAGCTGCTACGCGAGCAACCCGCTGCAATGGCTCCGGAGTGTAGTGTTTTCTTATATAGTGGAGAGTGTTATCACAACCAAAACAACTCTTTAGGTTCGTTACGGTAACATAGATTGGTTGCAGTTTTTTAGCGTTTGTTTCCTCATCCCTTATTGCGCGTTTCTACTGAAACGCGCGCTACCGCACCCCCTCACTGTTACCGCCCCTCCCCGCCGACCCTACCCTCTGCCTCCCTCCCGTACACTTGCTCAGCTCCGGCTGAGCACGTGCAGGAGAGGGAGGCAGGGCGACCCGGTACCCACCGTGCCCCGCACGAGCACACGTCCAGCTGCCACGCCAGCAGCTCGTGCAATGGCTCGGAGTGTACCGAATGGTTGTCTTATATAAGCGGAGGCTGTTATCACAATAAAATCACTGGATCTAATCCTCCCAGTCGGTTACCGGTTTGCCTAGCGGTCGTTTTCGCCTCCAGCGAACTCGAACCCGATAAGTATTTTGCGTACGGACAGAACAAACATACATACATAATATATACATTACAAACATACAAACCGACACACAAAGTTACTGCCTTTATTAGAATTACCAGTCGGATCGCCCGGCTAACGCCGAGCTCTCCTCCTTCTTAGAAGCCCGGCTTCGCGGGCTCAAGCAACTGCTTTAGAGCCCCACTCTAACTCGTGAAAGAAAAGGAACAAAGTAAGGCATAAGCAGGGCGATTACTACTGTCTTAGGCATTTATGATGCTCTCATGGTGCCTAACCGGTGTCTTCTAATCAAATAAATGTAGGAACGCGCCCATATGATCGCAGGCACTTCACTTTTATAATGAAAGGTTTGAAATCTGGTCATGGATAACCGATTACTGTCCTCCCCATCTCATGACAGCCACGGATTCTTCGGTCTCCGCAGTCGCTGCGTGCTCCTGTTCAGGCGAGCGTTGGTCGCGCCAATATGGTACCCCTTCACCTCACCTATCCCCAAACTAACCTCAGCTATTCCCCGCTCAGCCACCCTACAGGTCACACTCAGCTGCTACGCGAATAGCCCGTGCAATGGTTCTGAGTGCACTAAATGGTTGTGTTATGTTGTGGAGGGTGTTATGACTATCAAAACGCTACCACAATTTGACAATGCAATATGAATCGCTTCAGTTCCGATTGCGGTCGATCCATTTTCTTCTCATCTTATCGCAACTGTAGACGCCTTACCGCCGCAGGGGCTACGACAAAGCGGAATCGTTGCTGTGCTCTTCCAGTGACTCAAAAAGTACAGTTCATAGTCGACTTATGAAAAATCTGGATACGACAAAGCGAAATCGCTGCTGAGCTCTTCCAATGACTCAAAAAGTACAGAGGCATGATCCGACCTGGCGAGTAGTGGGGCACCTGAGACTTGCCTGACGTTGGGAAAAGTAGACAGACTAAGACAAGTACGTTGTTTCCATGAGTCAGCAGACAACTGTGCTGCTGCAAGCCGCTTTGTTGGAAGAATTCAAGAAAAAACATTGAAGATGAATTGAGTGCACGAAGGTTATCCTAGTCAATGAGCAGGTTGAAGTCGCCTAAAGGTATACTGTTTGCCTGACCTGAGATTATGTTTTGCAGATCAACTATTCTTCCTCACCCTTGGTAGGATTCGGAGGACGGTAAGCGGCTGCGAAGCGCTTACTACTATTACTTTGTGCATACAGAATAGTTCTAAACAGAGCACGTCAGCCTTACTTGAGGTTACATGTTTCACAGGGTAGACGCAGAAATAACCGCAGCATACCTAACCCCCTACGCTCTTTCCGGTCTAGTGGATACAGTATGGTAAAATACTCAGGATCTCAGAATCGCGAATCCGGTCAGTGAGCCATGTCTTCGTTATGAAGTGGAGGTCGAGCTTATGGTGGTCTGTTTATGGTGGGCAAGATAGGCGCGTAAGTGTTCCAGCTTATTGGACAAACTGTGGGCATCAAGGAAATGACAGACAAGAACTAAGTTCTGTGACACTATAGGTCTCCCGAACGCCTGTATGGCAGTTAAAACGTGTGCTTCAACTGCCCTTGATAAACAGCCTATTGCGCACACCAAACGGGGGCGATCTGAGTCCGATTTACCCATCCGATAAATTTCATTCGGAGGGCATTCCACATCCAGGATTTTGAGGACTTTGTTCATCTTATGCTTGAGGTCCGTTTGTCGTTTGGAAGAACGAAGATTATCTTGTGCCTCTTTGAGCCCTGCAATGACACTGCTCCGATCCCATTCCTCACTCTCGAGAAAGTCCGAAAATTGCATTTTTTGTGTTTGAGCGATAAGCATGCTTCCGATAGTTGACTCCTGATTGACATCGATGATACTTTTCAGTAACTCCATCGACGACATCGAAATCTGTAGGCTCAAACGGAACAGCTTGCCTATTAATAGCACTAGAAGTGGACTGTGAGTAGCTATCAGAAGCCTTCTTACAGCGCAGTACTTTGGGTGGCATCTTTTATGATCATTGATCTCCTAATATGCCGTCGATTTACTAGGAGCCAAGCAAACTTCAAATCACCAGAAGGCAACGGAAAGCCTGTTATAAAAAAAAGTCAAAATTACACCTGGAACAAAAAATATTGGTGTAATGTAACAAAATTAGTGTGCAAAGAAGTAATCAAATAGAAAGGAAAATTTTAAAGGGTCTCAACTACGAAAACACAGCCGCTTCCAGACGCAACCAGTACACTGAATATGAGATAGAGATGTAGCCATACGGGGCACAAATGAAAAAGTATGCAGTGGAGCAAAGTTAGAGCACTGTGCCTGCACTGTGAATCTCTTTGAAAATGTCCACGTTTTCTCCCATTTGTTGTTATGCTCTCTATGCTTCTTCCTTCAGAAGTGTGGCACTTGAACTTTTATTGCCGATGTACCATAAACTAGCGAAATGTCATGCTAATGGATATGTAAAATAATCTGGTTATCCCAATAATGCCTCAAATGCAAGTGGCTAAACAAGAGACAACAGCAAAGGGCTAATTATAGTAACCTCAATAATGGTAGGCTGATGCATCTGAAAGTCAGCAGTAGTGGTAATTCACTACTCGTTCTAATGTGTTCAATAGGGGTCGAATTGGCGAATTACTCACTACTGTGAAACGAACCAGGAAAACATGGTAGGTCGAATGGGCAGTTGAAATGAGATGTATAAAGATGTATAATCGCCGACGCGTCTTTGGACAGCGGTTTCGTATTTGCTTTCCAAATCTGCTAAACGATATTCCGGACAAAGCAATGGAGGTTTACGGGGCTGACTACTGCTCAAATCGGCCAATGTTCAGCAGGTATACAAACGATGCGTGACTGAGCGCCAAATGCGATGGCCTATGGGATGAATGATCGGTCTCACGTATGAATGGTCGATGGATTGAATCTTCGGCTAGAAGATCATTTTGCATTTTTTTGAAAATGTTCACTGCCGTTTTAAAACCATTCTTATGTAGCTAGGAGACTTATAGTGTAGTTCATTGCGGACGGTTGGGCGTGTTCGTGCGGCTGCGTTTGGCGCGGTGCCAAACTCCTTCTCTACGAGTTGTTCAAGCGAGCAAATGACAATACTCTATCATACCTTTCGTATTACTTGTTTTCTACTGCTTTTTGTCGCATGCCCGTTTCAACAAAAAGGCAAAGAACAGCTCAAAGAGGGTGACACACTCATACTGGCTGACACGCCCGACCGTCCGCAGCGAAGTAGAGTGTAATCTTGCTGAAAAATGTTACTTCTGAGGCAATGCTACCATACTGAAAGAATTATGAGGGACACCTCTGCATGCCTCCATTTGTTGTGTTCCGGCTCCATCATACGTTACACTGTACTGTGTCGCCAAACTGTCGCCAAATGGCACGGCCGCCGAAAGTGATCGTCGTACTTGTTATCAGAATCGTCTGTTACCGATAAGGTTTGAAATTTAATGAAAACACTTCAATACCCACTGGAATTCTAGTCGAGGATAGTGCCAGCGGCCTCAAGGGATGTATTGTCCATAGTTAACCCACTGTTTCGAATTTTGGTCAAAATCCCACACTTCGCTAAGAGCCTGTCCCTATGGCTAATTTGATCTCCAGAACACTAATAACACCAAAAACGCTTGTGTCGTGAGCTCCTGCACAGTCCTCTCTAGCATCACAGTCGCTCAAACAGATGGACAACTCGAAATGCGAGCACGACATTCCCATGAGAAATGATTGCAGTGCTTGATGTCGTAGACAACTCTTAGCTTGGAATTTGTTCGAACGTGGGGGTTATCTTGTGCCTCATATCACACGATAAATACAGACATGGAATGCAGATTTGTAATCAGCTTCCAAAAACACATCAGATGGTAATCTCATCTCAAATGCCCTTTTCGACCAAACACCCTTTCCTGGTAAGCATGGAAAAGTTTCACAAACCATTCACAAACCATTTGCTCTTGACATCATACATAAGACTGCTTCTGTGCCATCATTCTGCCTGGAGGACTCAGAGTGCCCAGTAGAGCTTCTATCCGTTAAAAGGTAAGTGGCTTTACGACCCAGTTCTAGGATTTCCAAACCCGTGTTTTCTCATTGTCAGTTTGAAAGATTTCAACTTGCAGGCTCTAAGAAAGGCGATGTTCGTCGAAACATTAGTATTAGTAGGGACGGAAAGTCTTGCTGCATACTTTGATTGAATTGTTCTAGAAAATGATCGAAAAACATTTCGAATGTTTTCTTCCCGATAAAGAGGAATATCCTGTGAGGTATCTGCAAACGGGCATATTATGACTTTGTGGAATTTTTCAACGATTATAAGTTCCTCAGAGATCGAGGTACTTTTCGACCTATCCCATTATTATGGGTTCCTGTAGGGCCAGGTTCCGGCTTAGTCGAGAGAGCTATTACCTGTGTTTTCTTCAAAAGGATATCGCTTGTCATGGCAGAGGGAAGCTTTTGCATCAGCGCCACCGAGCTGGAGTTGTTTTTATTCGGAGGTGGGAAACGTTTAGGTCGGACACCGGCACAGAATGACTGCCTTTTACTCAAGTTTCTTGAGGAGCAGCCGAACGTAACAGCTCGTTGACAGCCTCTCTGGGCTCCACCTCTCTGATATGCTTCTCCGCAATCTCGGTAATCGGGAAATTTTTTTGTGAAGGATGCCTCATGAGTTGGACCCGTCTGACAAGTCATACCGAATGACCGTGATTGAGTTTCTATTTGCTTGTGCACACTGGAAGAGTATTTGTAAGAACGTGTGCTTGGTAGCGAGTGTTGGAGGACTTGCGTACATAATGCACATGTCCCTTGCGGGATCTTTCAAGGAGGAAAGTAGATTGCTAGCCAAAACTAGCCAAAAGCAGGTGTGCATGGGATAAAGATTTCAGTGTGTTATTGATAGGACTTCGAAGCGGTATCGCTGGACACTAGCACAGCTGTGAGGAACACAGTTCACTCTAACCAACTTTTGAAATATTGATGAGGTTACACTAGAATTCGCTCAGAAATACT